AGATATACGGCGGCAGGGCGGCACTCGCAGGCAAAACCACATTTTAAAACGTGTGTTTTGTGAACAAATAGGGGGCGCGCGAGGCGCACCGCCGCAGATGTGAGTCGCCGGGTCACAGCCGGTTCCTTAGCGGCTATGTCCCGGCGATCGGCGGCAAACAGTGACAGACAGCACAGCTGCAGTAGCTGTGCTGTCTGTCACTTCCCTGTCAGCTCGAGGATGAGCTGATCGAGAAAGAACAGTTTCTCTTTCTCAATCAGCCTTGTCCCGTCCAGTACACACCCCCGCCCCCTAGTAAAACACTCCCCTCACTCCTATAACCCTTCCCTGCAAAATAAAGTTAATCCCTTCCTCCCCATTGCCATTAGTACAGTGTCAGTGTTTTTTTTTTTTTTTTTTTTTTTTTTGCACCGATCACTGTATTAGTGTTTTTGGGGATGTCAGTGACCCCAAGTCAGTACCCCCCAATGTCAGAATGTCCGCCGCAGTCCCGCCATAAGTCGCTGGTCGCTGTCATAAGTCCCTGATCGCCACCATAATTCGCTGATCGCCGCCATTATTAGTATAAAAAAAACCCTAAAAATCCCAGTATCTTTCCCGCCATTTGTAAACGCTATAACTTTCACGTAAACCAATTAATTTACACGTATTGGGTTTTTTTTTTAGCAAAGACATGTCGCAGAATGCATTTTGGCAGAAATTTATGACTAAATTAGATTTTTGCATTTTTTTTTTTACTGGACATGTTTTATAGCAAAAAGTCCAAAATATTGTTTTTTTTTTCCTCAAAATTGTCAGCCTTTTTTTTTTTATAGCGCAAAAAATAAAAACCGCACAGGCGATCAAATGCCACCGAAAGAAAGCTCAGTTTGTGGTAAAAAAAGGATGTAAATTTCATTTATGTACCGTATTGCATGACCGCGCAATTGTCCGTTAAACTAGCGCAGCGCTGTATAGCAGAAAAATGCCGTAAATTGCAGTATCTATACCATAGTTTGTAGACACTATAACTTCCACACAAAGCAATCAATATACACTTATTGGGATTTTTTTTTACCAAAAACATGTAGCAGAATACATTTTGGCCTAAATTTATAACCAACTTTGAGCAGCGCCGAGTAGCAAAAAGAGGCCTGGTCATTAAGGGGGGTAAATCCTCTGTAGCTCAAGTGGTTAAATTATTAACCCGCTGGTATTATACCCCCTCTAGACTACACATCATGTTCCCAGAGACATCCTATCTTTGCTTGCGGGGTTGTGGCCTAACTGGCACCCTTGTACATACATTTTGGGCCTGTCCAGGCCTTTCATTGATATGGCGTAAGATCTCTGCAATGTCTGATGCCCCGATGTAATTGTCTATGCAGACTTGCCTACTGGGAGCCCATATCTCGGGAATACGGACTGAGGCTATGAGGCTGATTCACACTATCTGTGTCTAAGCCCTATGGGCCATTGCCCTTCACTGGAAATTGCCTACGGTACCATTGGCCTCGGTTTTACAAAGAGTCGATTCGGTGATGCTCATGGAACGTATTCATTATACATTACTGGATAGGATACACTTATTTGACAAAAAATGGGATGTTTGGAAAACACATAGACATTTACTGCCTGACCAATGAATATTCATGATTTAATTGATGGTGTCTTTCTGTTGGCGGCTTTATTGCTCTGCCTACCTTCCTGCCTACCAAGCTCATGTACTTCACTATTATGTTCTACATAACTGTACCTTATTGGAATGAATATTACAGATGTGCCTTTTTTTCTGTTGTATGTTATACCTTCTTCTGTTAAGCTGTTTTTGCAGCCTATGTCTTAATAAATAAAAATGTTTGTAGACAAAAAAGAAATACAATTTTTAAATGTACTTTTAGTCACAACCATAATTGTAAAAAATATGCAAAACCACAATATATTCTCTTAAAGTCCAATTAGAACCTTCTTCAGCATATTACCTAATGTTTTTTTTTTTGATGATCAGCGTCTGCGGCCGATAAGCTGCAGCCACTGACTAATGTAATTGACAGCAGTGGGTGACTTTGTCAGAAAATAATGTCCTGGAGAAGAGGGGGATTCCTCCATCCATCTTGTTTGCATGGCTGGTTGGCTGAACGAAAAAAATCTTACAAGTCAAGCTGCAGGGAGTCACAAATATACAATGCTTGCCATTCACTGGGGGGAGGGGGGATTTACTAAAAATTGGTTACTAGCTGCACCAGATTCTATCAGTTTACAGGTTTTATTGTCAAAGCTTTTGAACAAGCAGAAGTTAGAACCTGACTGGTTACCATGCACAGCTGCACCTGAATCTGCGTGCTCCAGTTTTAGTAAATCTCACCCAGGGTCACTTTAAAGCTAGATACACATAGAAAGCGTTGTAACTGTACAAATGTTCGCAGTAGCTGTGACGTGTAAGGAATGATTGATACAGATCCTCAGAAGAGAGGTTCCTTGGTCAGAGTAGACTATACAATTCATATCTTACTATATGGCTGATAATAGTGTTCTGCCTAGTAGGCAGCGATACACTGAATAGAGGCTTTGCATGTAAAATGAATACGGGATCAGCTGAGGTCTTTGTTTCTAAATGATTAGATTCCTGAGCGTTGGGCTAGCCCTAGGCTACCAATTGACTGGCACATCTCCCAGGCTACCAAGGACATGAGCATCCATATCAAGTAGTTGGGAGGAGAAGCTGGCCGTAGGTCAGATTGCCTTACAATGTCCGTGTGCCATGTAGAATCACTTGCCAATAAAAAAAGTTTTATAGTGAGTATTTCTGCTGATAATAAAGCTGCAGATGTACAGAATCGCTATTTAACCACTTCCAGTCCGGACACTTTTACTCCCTTCCTGCCCAGGCCAATTTTCAGCTTTCAGAGCTATCACACTTTGACAATTGCGCGGTCATGCAACACTGTACCTAAATGAAATTGTTAGCATTTTTTAGACCGATAAAAACTTTCTTTTGTTGGTATTTATTCACAACTGGGATTTTTTTTTTGCTATGTAAACTAAAAAGACCAAAAATTTTGAAAGTGTTTTTCTTATTTCTTACAGGCTATATATTCAGTTGGCTCATTTAAAATGTATTTTTAAAAAGACTAATATACAGTAGATAAAAGTGGAATGGGTATTTGGCGCACTCCAAGAAGGGCTGAAAGTGGTATATGCGGAAATGACTAAAAATGGAAACCAAGGATGAAAATAAAAATGAGACCAAAAAAAGAAATAAAAAGTGTGTGTATGTGTGTGTGTGTGTGTATGTATGTGTGTGTGTGTGTGTATATATATATATATATATATATATATATATATATATATATATATATATATATATATATATATAAAATATATATATATATGTGTGTGTATTTATGTATGTATAAATGGGAGACACAATATAAATATCTATATATAGATAGTCCTTGTGAACGTCCTGATGCACCGCTGAACAAGGAGGCAGCCAGTAATGAGCTAGAGAGAGCCCTGTGGGAGATCAGGAAAGAAAAACTGCGCCCTCTAAGTGCAGCATAAAACATTTTAATATAGCTAAAAATGAATAATACAGGCCACTCACAAAAGTATGGTGGAATGCGCTTGTAATCTGTTATATAGGTAGGCATCCGCTTTGTGAAGGGACTCGAGCCTCTGAACATGTGGGGAGATCCGGTGTTGGACGGTGATGCTGGTGGCTTCCAGGTTCTGAAATTCCCGCTGAACGGAGAGGATGTCACTTGTGATTGTGGGGGGTGGCGCACGTTCGGAGCATGCGTGCTCCCTCATCAGTCTGCAAGCACTGATGTGGACTATGACATTGACAACCATATAACATACTTTCTGTGCATTTTGGATGCAGAAAAAAAAGCAACTGAAACGGATGTAGTGTGAACTGGCCTTTTAACTTTTTCAAAGTGGTTTTTCAGCAAAATAAAGCAAGGAGACATGGATGGATAGGGGAGTTTGTTTTGAATAACAAAAATGAATTAATGTGTTACTAAACCCAGGAAACAAATACTATATCTTGTATCCCACATTACACAGAACATAGAGATGCATTAATGTTAGTGAATATAAACTGCTAAATAAATTATCTCATCAGCAGTTAGAGCAGTCTTGTGAGGTCTATCGGTGTGTCCAGCCGAGCACTGGTTGAAGGTTGGAAGAGGAGTTTTCATTCTCCCCTGATTGTCCTTTGAGGCTGCATAACCCCTGACCCACTGTCTGGACAGTGCTGATTGCCCTGTGCCGATCACATGCACCCTCCCAGGAAAAAAAGAAAAAACTAGCAATACATACCAAACTGAGCATGTGCAGCTTGCCTTTCCAAGGCTCTGTTCTATCAGCAGATGGATTGGGGACATTAGAAGAAGGGGAGGATCAGAGAAGACAGGATCAAACATCATTTTTACACAATGCAAAGGATTAACCCCTTAGGATCCATAGTGAGTATAACAAGCATGCATTACTGCATATACAGACTGATTTTACTATTGTGGGTTTAGTAACACTTTAAATAGCGTTTTTGGTTTGTGGTGCTCAGATAGTGTAGTTAAGCTTTAAGTTGTAAAATGTGCTTTAAAGCAAACCCTCAATGACCTCTCTAGGTATAGGCAACAAGGAGAAATTCATTTTCAAAGAACTCCTGAAGTCATTTGGGCTTTTTTTTAGCATCTCATAATCCTGCTCTGCCTCCCAAGGGTTCTGCTTTGTGCTTACATTAGAGATTAGAACTCTTGAACTACCTTCTGCTTCCTCTTACCAGCATAGGCCCATCACTATTATGGGATGTCTTACTGGTCAATTGGAATATAAGGAAAGTAGGAGGGTGTGGACAAGCTTCTGCAAGTCTAGGAAATGCCAAAGCTTTGCCTAATCAGAACAGCCCAGCATTCTGGCACTGATAGCTGCTACACTAGATGGAGTCAATACACATGATATAATGTTTCTAAAATGCTTGATTCACATAAATGTATCCCTTTTCTGTATTTCAGCTAACGTTTGACCTGGATCGAGAGGTGTATCCAGTGGTGGTTCACGCAGTGGTGGAAGAAGGTGAAGGTGGGACACAGGGGTTAATCTACTAAAGTCAAATAGACTGTGCAAAACAGTTGCTCCAAAGCTTAGTAAATGAGCAGAAGCTCTGCTAACTTATATCATCCAATCATGTGCAAGCCAAAATGCTGTTTTTTTAAAACATTTTCCTTGCATGTGATTGGATATTCTTTGCAAAGTGAAGCTATACCTCATGTACTAAGCTCTGGAGCAACTGCACTTTGCAAAATGCCTGTTTTACCTAAAGCAAAACTCCAGGTAATAACTTCTTTACATGTCCTTGTTGCTGATCTCTTACCTACTGATATGTCATCCATCTTCTGGATCACTCAGTAGTTGCTCTGAAATAGCCTGTTCATTTTCAAATCAAACTGTTATTTCTCTTTGGTTTTCAGTTTGTAAGACCAGTGGCTGCTATGCCTCTTATTCCCCCAGACACTGGTCATGGCACATCCCTTCTGTAGTTCTGTCTCAGGAAGCAGTGATGTAATTCTGCCCCACATGCAGTGCTGGGCAGACCGAGACGCTGAGACATGTTCAACATGTACAGGCCTAGTGTACCCATCCACATTCACTACAATTCCCTGTGGTTTATGGGAACTGTAGTTTCCTTTTTTCTGCAGAGAGAGAGAGAGGAGAGGATATGATGTAATCCCTGTTGTTACACCTCTTCCTTGCCAGAGCAGATGCTGTTTTATTTTAGTAGAATTTTCTCCTAAATGGTAAGGGCTTTCAAAATTGGATTGACTGTTTTTTAGTGTTTTGTGTAGGGGGTGTACTAATGAGTGATTTTTTTTTTTTTTTTTTGCCTATCCCAGAGTTTCTTTTTTCTTACCAAAAGGATAAATTTACATTTATTTAAAAATGCAGCTCAGTAAATATGCAGTTAATATCTGCCAAACTGCTTAGTTCTTGTTTCAACTGCCTAGCCTGAACAATGTCTGCAGAGCATTTACATCTTAAGCAGGGGCAGCAGCACACTCCTTAGTAAGGTGTGTGTGTATAGTTGTTAGGAGTGGGAGATGTTAGAAGAGAGCTGCATAGGAAAGCTTGTAATGAATAATGGTCATCCTTCACAGACATCCCTCAAACCATCCTCTTGAGTATCCTTTCCACCCCGATCACGCTTGCTGAAACGTTTGAACCTGTGGACAGGCTGTGGACAAATACGTCTTAACAAGCAGTAAATGTACTAAAAAAAAAAAAAAAAAAGCCCTCACTGACCTCTATAGCTGTAGCATTAAAAATGAATTGCACACAAACACTCGTATGTTTTGCCAGCATTGCAGTGCGATTTGTAATTGCAGGCAGAATTACAAAAAAAAAAAAAAAAAAAATGCCCTCACTGACCTCTATAGCTGTAGCATTAAAAATGAATTGCACACAAACACTCGTATGTTTTGCAGGCATTGCAGTGCGATTTGTAATTGCAGGCAGAATTGCGGCGATTCTACCCAGCGATTCCAAAACGCTAGATTTAATTGCGGCCTGAGGTTTAGGTATGATTTTTCATACATGATTGTACTGTTCCCGCTCGGATCAAAATAAGCATACATATTTCATACCTGAAACCTGTGGAAGCTGCAATTTACTGTAGTAGTCCCTGCTACTACACTGATGGCAGCAGTCTCCAGATCTGATGAGTAGCTGCCCTTCTGTGCAGAAACCACAGGTGGTCCCTTTTTTCAGTGAATACAAGGCCTTCTCCGATTGGATGAGGTAGAGGTTGTGATGTCATCACCCTGGCTCTCTACCTTGTCCAACTAAAAAATGCCTTGTGTTCACTGAAAAAAATACAAGGCATTCACTGAGTGACCCCATGTTTGTACTGTGTGGAAGTGCAGCTGGTTGGCATTGGGCCCAGAAGCCTGCTTCTATCATGTAGTATTGGTGAGTCTGCATGAGACCGCACCAGAGGAGTTGTGAATTTTGCAGCAAAAACGGCTTTTTTTTCATGGTTACTACTGCTGGGCAATACATTTTGGTTTTTAAACAGATCTCCTGCCTTCCTCAGAGTGCTAATATATTTGTATTGCTTACATCTGTCAATGATCCACACATCCATGTATAAGGGTGAAATAAGGAACAGATCCCTTACCTGAATGTGTACAGATACCGAAAAAAAAGGATTGGCAATAAAAAAAAAAAATCTGTATTGATCGTGATAGTGTATGATCTAACTTGTTTCTTTCTTTCTGCAGAACATATCGGTCACTCCCATGTACTAATGGCAACATTTGAAAGGGTGGGTGATTGTGGTTTGTGTCTCCAGTATGTGTTGGTAGTACTAGCCTGTGTGCCCATCAGCATTGGGCAGGTACTTCAGATGTAGATTTCTCCTTCTAAATAGCACCCTCTTTACTTATTGGCACTTGGTTCTTCTACCTTGAGAAGATGGTTCAAGGTGGGGAGAAGGGATTTACAAAATACAGGGGACGGGTATGTTTCTCAGCCTGGAACCTAATGCCTGCATGCATGCTCCCACCTTTGTACCTACACTTCCCCTTTCTATCAATACCAGGCCAATACCCTTACTACTACAAAAAAAAAACGGTCACTGCCTCAGTCTATAACTGGCCTTCCCAGCAAGTAGCACAGGGACGGGCAACGCATGTCAAACCAAAAAAACAAAAGAAAAATTCCCAGCTAACCTGCCAACCAGCTGCAAACAAACCAAATTTACCTGTCTAGCAGTATGCATTAAAAATCGGGGTTTTGTTAGCACACATTTGCAAATACATGCGTAAGCTGCAGGGCCTCATCACGGCACCCCAGTATTCTGTGGTTCCTAAGTCTACAAATTTAAGAACCCCCATAGTAGAGGCACATGTATGTAATGGATAGACCAAGGGCAGGTGGACCTGAGGGAGCCCACTCCTCCTTAAAAGGTACAGGAGCGCACTGGACACCCAGCATGTAGCACAATGGCAGCTTGGGTGTCCAGTGCGCCCCCTCACCAACAATTCAACAGTACAAAAAATGACCACTGCCCCAGTCTATAAGTGGCCTTCACAGCAAGTAGCACATGGACGAGTGACACATGTCAAACAAAAAAAAGAAAAATTTGCAGCTCAGCATGCCAACAAGCCTGCAAACAAACCAAATTAGCCTGTCTAGCAGTATGCGTTAGAAACGGGTTTAATTAGCACACATTTTCAAATACATACGTAAGCTGCAGGGCCTCGTCACGGCACCCCAGTATTCTGTAGTCCTAACTCTACAAATTTAAGAGCCCCCATAGTAGAGACACATGTATTTAATGGATAGACCAATGGCAGGTACACCTGAGGGAGCCCACCCCTCCTTAAATGTACAGGAGTGCACTGGACACCCAGCATGTAGCACAATGGCAGCTTACCACCACTGTTCCTACAGGCCACCTTCTCCCATCCACATCGTCCACTGCATTCCAATGCTGTCAAGACCACACCCATTTCTTCACCGAGCTTGCTCCCCTGCTCTCGCCAATGTGCCTATACCCCATCTGACAATGGCACCTCCGCATGCTTCTCACTTTAACTCCATGCCTGCACAAGCCCCCTCCCACAACACAGCACAGTACGCGCTCACCTCCTCTTTATTCCTCCTCTTGGCAATGCGCCTTTATTACCACCACTCGTCAGTAGGCCTATCTATCAACCCTTGCCCAAAAAAAAAAAAAAAAAAAAAAAAAACCTGTGGCCCCCTTCTCTCCCCCCCCCCCCCCCCTACTGTCACACCTATACTCATATCTCGCACTTCCACCAACGCTTACTAACCCCCCCCACCCCCATCTGTTTTCACCCTGGGCTTGCTGGAAGTAGGCACGCTTGAAAATAACTAATGGCCCATTCAGTGTGTAGTCGGTAGAGCCCCATGGAGTTCTTTCTGCATATTGCAGCAGAGAGAGCTATGTGATTGGATGAGAACTGTCATATGACAGGCTGTATGAAGGGTGACAAAGAGTCATAATCACACAAGGCCTGCAGGACGTTAAAAGAGGGTCCACTATGAAAAATATAAGATCTGCAAAAGCAGCAATGTTTAGGAGTTCTTGAAGGTTTGAAATATTCCTTAAAAAGTAGAACTATAGGCAAAACTTTTTTTTTTTTTTTTTTTTTTAAATTTTGTATAATAATAATTAAAAAAAAAAAAAAAAAAGTGATGCTGGTAAACAGGACAAATAGACAGGGTGACTCTCCCTAATGGGTGCGCAGACAGCAATAATGACCAGACCGGTGTTCTAAGCCCTCTCCACTCCGTCCAAAACTGAAAACCGTTTTGCCTTTAGTTAAACTTTAATGTCCGCAATGGCCTGAAGTGTACATAAAAGGGGTTCAAGGGTGAGGATAAAGGTAAGTGGAGTTGGTTTCCTTTTTTTTTTTTTTTTTTTTTTTTTTTTAAATCAGTTTGTTGCATTCCTTCACCTATAGAGGATAGAGCACATTTGTACAGCACAGGGCTGTGATTTATATATGTGTGTTTTTGTTTTGTTCATGGCCATGAGCCCTTAAGTCTCCTTTAAAGCGTACTAAAAGCCAAAACTCCTCTCAGGTTTTCACACTGTGAAGATTGAAATGTTTTCTTTTGTCCTTTTAATTATTGGGTCCAGTACAGTAAGCGTGACAGAATAATAGCAATCTTCTACATGAGCAAAGGAACAGTGTTATATAAAATCGTACGTTTTAACCACTTGCCCTCCAGAGGATCCCCCCCTCCTGACCATGCCATTTTTTGCTTTACGGCGCTGTGTTACTTTAAGTGACAATTGTGCAGTCATGCAGCGCTGCACCCAAATGAAATTTACATCCTTTTTTTTCTCCCACAAATAGAGCTTTCTTTCGGTGGTTTGTTTTTTTTTTTTATTTTTTTGCGCTATATACAAAAAAAATACCGACAAATTTGAGAAATAAAAACAATATTTTTGACTTTTTGCTATTAAACATATCCAATAAAAAAAAATGTAAAAGATCAAATTTCGTCATAAATTTAGGCCAAGATTAATTCTGCTACATGTCTTTGCTAAAAAACAAATCCCAATACGTGTAAATTAATTGGTTTACCTGAACGTTATAGCATCTACAAATTATACAAAATGGAATTTTTTTATTTTTTATTTTTTTTTACTAGTAATGTCGGCGATCAGCGACTTATAGCGGGACTGCTGCAGGAATTCTGACACTGGGGGAACTGACTTGGTGTCACTGGCATCCCCAGTGACCCCAATACAGTGATCAGTGCTAATAAAAAGCACTGACACAGTCCTAATGGCACTGGGCAGGAAGGGGTTAACATCTGGGGCGCTCAAAGGGTTAACTGTGTGTGTTTTACTATGCGGCTGTGTGTGAGCTTTCAACTGTAAGCACACTGCTTTGTATGGCTCTGCTACGCAGAGCCATGAAAAGCAGTGTGCAGGAACTGACAGGAGAGAACTGTATTGTTTACAAACAGTTCTCCCTCCCCTGTTGGAGATGCTTGGCAATCACTGGCCGCCGACTTGTACCTGGTGATTAACAGCGAGGCCACGAATGCCGGCTCGAGTAGGGCGGAAATGTAAAATCACGTGTGTGTGTGTGTGTGTATATATATATATGTGTGTGTGTGTGCGTGTATATGTGATGTGTGTGTGTGTGTGTGTATGTGTGTATATATATATATATATATATATATATATATATATATATATATTATTATACAGTATTTATATGCGCCAAAGGGTATGCTCAGCGCTGTACAGTAGCAAGGGGGACATAACATGAGACAAGACAGTAACAATACAATACACGAGGGGTTCGAGGGCCCTGCTCTTTCGAGCTTACAATCTAGGATATATATATATATGATTTTGCACACCCCTGCCGCCTTGTAGCAGTATTTTTGCTATAGGGCGGCGGAAAAGCAGTTAATGAGCTGCAGAACGTTGCTGTGCATTCCAGGCAAAGCGGAGCGACGTCCCAGAAGTCCTTACATACGCGTTTCATTACCAACGCGCGTCATCTACAGGAGCTGTTCTTTGGTGAGTGCATAAGATTGCTTTTATTCTGTCACCTTTAAATAAATGTTAAACACTGTGAACGTTCCCTTGCTTTACCTTGCCATAGTTCGGGTTTTGCACTCTCAATCCATATGAACATATTGGATGAGTAAAGTGTTCCCGAAGGTGCAAAACATCTCGGGAAAGGATCTGGATGAGCAGAGGGTTTTTGGGCATTCCTTTGAACTACAATGGGCATAATAAAATTCTCATTGATTTTCTTGTGCAAACAAGGAGTTGCATACCATCTGAGTAGTGTGTGGTGGGGAGTCACTCAAGGGCACAGGGTGATCTGCATGGACATAGCAGACCTATGAGGAATTGTGGCACCTGGCAACTATTTATGAACTTTTTATGTTGATGGGAAGAGCACCTGAGCTCTTTTAATTGATTATTAAAACTTATTTTGGACTATATATTTTTTTTCTTATTGCATAATTTATTTGTGTACTATTAGATAGATAATGCTGGCTTAACACATTTCTTGAGCATTATTTATATGGTCTGAGCGCAGGTGTCCTCTTTTTAATTTATAATAATGTGACCTAACAGAAACAAGGTGTTTTCCCATATACATGTCCTGTGCCTGCATTTAGAACCAGCAAAAGGTGCCAGGCAGGGAGAACACATCCTAGAACTGGCTGTGTAGAAGATGGACCATGGTGACACCTAGCGGCCATCAGGAAAATAGTTTTTACAGAGCAGCTTGCAGGATAAAGTGTAAGGATAGCCAACAACATTTTTTTTTAGTTTTGGATGAAGTAGGAAGGGTTAAAACATCTGCTAATTTATTTTTTGCTATCTTTGTACCATTGAAGACATTTCTCTTCACTTTGTGTCCTAGAGATCCAACAGGAAGTTGGGGGACTCCCAAACTGTGGGGGATTCCCCTCTGAAACATTTTCCCCTCCTCTCAAATCTAACATTTAGCATTTTCCTGTTTTTGCTGACAGTGGTCACCAGTATAAATAGAGAGGTGAATCTTCCCAATGGAGACACTGGCAGCAATAAGAACTTGACAATCAAACTCATTCCCAACTCCATCCAAACCTAAAATAAAACACTGCCTTGAGATACACTTGAACTATTTTTTCCAGTGACCTTAATAGATAACTAAGTCCAAGAACAAACACGTAAAATATTGCAGCGTATTAGTCTTTAGATGTGGTGGCTGCATTAGTTTTCTTTGTCTAGACTTATAACATAACATTTTCAGCAAGTACAGAAAACATCTGATGATCCTGCCAGAAACGCAATGCCCAATACTTAGATCTGGTGGCTGCATTAGTTTTCCTTTTTTAAGCTTCCAGTTCAGCTCAGAAGTGGTGAAACTTCTTCTGAGCAGAACTGGAAGCTTAAAAAGAAAACTAATGCAGCCACCACATCTAAGGATTGGTAATCTGCAAAATATGAAATGCTTGTTTCTGATTTAGATATGTTTTAAGAAGAATCTAACACTTTGCCCCTTTAAGACAGAGTGACAGAATATCTTACTAGCCCAGCCCTGACCTCCTTATCCTCATCTCCCTCGTCTTGCCATGTTGCTCTGCAGTCCTGTGTAAGGGATTGGCACAGTCCTAAGCACTGCATCTTGGGAGCAGGCCGTGTGTACAAACATCTAGATGTGCTGGATATTTGTGACAACAGCAGCAGAGCCGCAAAAGAGTGCAGCCATTGGAGTATAAGTGGGTTTGGCTTGTAAGAGGCTCTAGTGTTGATTTGCTAAAGGCAAATAGACTGTGCACTTTACAAAGTGCAGTTGCTCCAGAGCCTAGTAAAGGAGGGGCGTCTCTTCTGACTTCCATTATTCAATCATGTGCAAGCAAAAAAATCTGTTTTTTTTTTTTTTAAATGTCCTTACTTGTGATTGGGTATTCTTTGCAAAGTGAAGCTTTACCTCATTTGCTAAGCTTTGAAACAACTGCACTTACAAAAGTGCACAAGTCTATTTGCTGTTAGTAAATCCACCCCTCTGTCACTTTGCTCTGAATGAGAAAAGCAACATATTCTGTTTGTTGGGTATCTGTCATCAGGGCCGGTGCTAGACTATTTTGTGCCCTAGGCAAGACCAGCTACTTGTGCGAGGACCCCCCCCCCCAAATAAATAAATACAATTTTAAAACAGTAGAATATATAAAATCAACAAAGCATGAAACTACTAAATTTCTTTAAATTTGCAAAAATGTGCGATAAGATGCTACTGGCACCAAAATGAAGACAAAATATATATTAACCAGACAGAGAAACAAAAAAAACAAAACAAACGGGAATATTGTTTTGTGTGTGTATGTATGTGTATGTATGTATGTATATATGTGTGTGTGGGTGTGTGTGTGTGTATATATATATGTGTGTGTGTGTGTGTGTGTGTGTGTAATAAATATATATATATTACACACTAAATGGTCATAAGTGTGGACAGGCTGTGATACGATTGTACAGAGTAAAGATATCATTATTCCCTGTGTATAAGGAGAGGGGGACTCTGCAGAGAAGTGGACAATTCATACAAGAGGTACATAAGCCACACAGAGGGAGTGCCGGTCTGTGCTGCACCCAGGCTCCCCTAAGTCACAGTGCGCCCAAGGTGGCTGCCTAGTGGAAGCATCAGCCCTGTCTGTCATAATAAACAAATTCTAGGCTGCCATGGCTGATCTCTCCTTCTGAAAATGCCTGCTGTCTGACTGTTATAATGATGCTTTGGTCAATCGTTTAAATCACTGTCCTGAAACGAGCATAGATATAGGGATTTCTGACTTGTCGTATGCTTGTTCCTGGACCAGAAAACATTTGAAGATGAACATAGCCAGACAACTAGCATTTTCAGAAGAAGGCCAGTAATAACAGGGCCTGTGTTTCTCTCATGATAGTCTCTCAGAACAGGTTTCCCTCATAACATGTCTATCATAACCCCCCTCTGTCATTCCCTCCACTAGCTTCCGATTGCCCAACGCATTAAATTCAAACTACTAACATTGACATACAAAGCCATTCATAACGCTGCCCCAAACTACCTCACCGACCTGATACCCAAATACCACCCAACCCGTAATCTTCGCTCCTCACAAGACCACCTACTTTCTAGCTCCCTGGTCTGCACCTCCTATGCCCGACTGCAGGACTTCTCCAGGGCTTCCCCCATCCTCTAGAATTCACTACACCAATCTGTCAGACTGTCACCTACCCTCCTCACCTTTAGGCGCACCCTGAAAACCCATCTCTTCAGGGAAGCCTACCCCACCCTCACCTAACAGCCGATCTCCTCCACTCCTCCTACCACTCCATCCCCCACAGCCATTTCCTCCTGTACCACTATCCCCTCCCTCCTAGACTATAAGCTCGAAAGAGCAGGACCCTCTAACCCCTCGTGTTTTGTTTTGTTACTGTATTGTCTCATGTACTGTCCCCTACTATAATGTACAGTGCTGAACAAACCTTTTGGCGCTATATAAATTCTGTATAATAATAATAATATGTAGGACATTACTGACCTCTTATAAAAATGCTAACAGCCTGGCCTTTTTTTTTTCCGAGCAAAGTTTTTTTTTTTTTAACCATTTTTGTGTAATCAATTGTCTTGGACAGATTTTTATACATTATTTTAAAATAAAAAATTATGGAAGATAATTCAGAAAATGCATAAAATAGAAAAATACATCAACGCAGTATAGAGCAGGGGTAGCAACTTCAACACTCCAGCTGTTATGGAACTACAAGTCCCACAAGGCTTTGCAAGATAGCCACAAGCATAACACCCAAAGGCAGGGGAATGATGAGATTTGTAGTTGCACCAGAGCTGGAATGCCAAGGTTGTCTTCCCTGGTATAGAGAGGTGTAGGTGTGTTAACATTCCCCCACCAGACAGAATGCAGAGTTCCCTAAGTTGTGGCTAGTGAACCCTCCTTTCAATGGGCAGGTCTACTTGTATCTGCAGGGACATTGCAGTCTCCCTCCTTTTGTAACCAATGTCGTTCTTTTCTTGCAGCATGCAGATGGCAGCTACTGTGTAAAGCCTCTGAAGCAGAAACAAGTGGTGAGACAAGAATAAATATGAGAGATTTTTCCGAGCTGTGTTTTCTTTAGCAGATACTTATTTTTGTCCTTCTTTTAGGTGGATGGGGTCAGTTATCTCTTACAGGAAATCTACGGGCATCGAAAATAAATACAATTCACAGGACTCCAAGGTATCTACATACTTGATTCTTGTAGCATTTTATCCACTTGCCCTCCAGAGGAATTACCCCCCTTCCTGACCAGACCATTTTTTGCAATATGGCGCTGTGTTACTTTAACTGACAATTGCGCTATCGTGCAACGCTGCACCCAAATGAAATTTACATCCTTTTTTCTCACAAAATGGAGCTTTCTTACAGTGGTATTTGATCACCTGTGCCTTTTTTTTTTTTTTGTTATTTTTTGTGCTATAAACAAAAAAAAAAACGACAATTTTTTTAAAAAAACAAACAAACAATATTTTTGACTTTTTGCTATTAAACATACCCAGTACAAAAAATTAAAAAAAAAAAAAAACTAATTTCATCATAAATTTAGGCCAAAGTGTATTCTGTAACATCTTTGCTAAAAAAAAATCCCAATACTTGTAAATTAATTGCTTTACATGAAAGTTATAGCATATGTATGTATGTATAATATATATATATATATATATATATATATATATATATATATATATATATATATATATAGTAATGGTGGCGGGCATTCTGACACTGGGTGGGAACTGACTACCTGCCACTGACTTCCCCACTGACACTAATACAGTGATCAGTGCTAATAAAATGCACTGTCACTGTACTAATGACACTGGGCAGGAAGGGGTTAACATCTGGGGCAATCAAAGGGTTATCTGTGTGCTGTTGTACTGTGTTTGTTTGTGTGTGCTTTGCTATGTAAGCACGCTGCTTTGTATTGCTCTGCTATGTAGAGCAATACACAGCAACATGCTGGTGCTCACCAGGGAGAGACCTGTATTGTTTACATACAGACCTCTCCCCTGTCACTGTTCCTTGGCAATCACCAGGTGCCAGCGGGGAATCTCCGGCTGGAACCCAGTGATCGACAGCTGTAGCTGCCACATACATTGGCTTTTAGACTTTATTTGTATGTAGAAAAGCACTCTAAGGGGCATATAACATAAGCCACAAGCAAGTCCAGGTACCATAGCTGGCATAAATGGTTAGCATTAGTAGCCAATTGGATTAGGTCAAGGTAGATCATTGACTAAGCCTGTCCATGGACTACAATTGCCCTTTATCCATCCCCATAGCAAGGAGGCAACAGGCAAACTCCTTATACAATTACAAATGCAAATGGTATAAAAAGTCGGAATAATATAAATTTTTTTTATTTATATTCTTTAACATACATATCACTAGCAACATCCGCAATGGATGCCCTCTTCTTCTGCCTACCTTTTTAAGGTTTCCTGCTTTACTCCTCTCAGCTTTTGAATAACTGAAATGGACCCTAGATGGAAAATGGTGGACAAAGCAACAATTTTACTGTAATCCCTTTTCTTCTGCTGCATATACTCACCTTTGCTTTTCTGATCCACCAGGAGCAGGAGAATCCATTCTGAGCAAGTCACTCAAGTATAGCTTACACAGGACTATGGACTCTCACTGTGACAGTATTGGTGCTTGGTAATTTGCTCAGTGATGTCACATGGAGTGAATCATGTGCTCTTCCGTACCTGAAAGTACCATCAGGGACATTTATCTAGTAAAGAAGTGAGACCATTAGTCGCCAATCAAACTGTGTCTGCTTCAACAAAGTCTCTGTGACTGGTTTACGGACCTTTGCATCTGTATCTCTGGACAGCCAGGTGTGACAACTTGCAAACGTTCAAAGACAGATATATTTCTAAAGATATGACAGAGTTTAACCATTTCAATACCGTGCAATTTTACACCTTCCTGCCCAGGCCATTTTTCACGTTTCAGCGCTCTCACACTTTGACAATTGCGCGGTCATACAACATTGTACCCAAACTAAAATTTTATCATTTTCTTCACACAACTAGAGCTTTCTTTTGGTGGTATTTAATCACCGCTGGGGTTTTTATTTTTTGCTAAATTAACAAAAAAAGACCAAAAATGTTGAAAAAAAAAACACGTTTTTCTTTGTTTCTGTTATAAAAGTTTACAAATAAATAATTGTTCTTCATAAATTTAGGCCGAGATGTATTCTGCTACATGTCTTTGGTGAAAATAACCCAAATTAGGATGTATTATTTAGTTTGTAGGAAAGTTATAGAGTTCACAAACTATGGTATAGATCTGATTATTGATCAATCCTGAAGTACTGACAGCCAATCTAATTTCTTGAGGTCTAAGAATGTCAGAACAGTACAGATATCCCCAAATGACCCCTTTTTGCAGAGTAGACAGTCCAACGTACTTCATAAGAGGCATGGCGAGTTTTTTGAAGTTGTATTTTTTTTGTCATAATTTTTCGGAAAATGAAAAAATTAAAAAAATTATTTTCACTATTTATTTTTTTTACATACTGTCACCAGTGCAGTACAGCGTCATCATATAACTGGCATGGTGGTGAACAGGGACATTGACTGGTGACAGTATGAAAAAAAAAAAATATATATATTTTTTTTTTTAAATTTTTTTTATTTTTAATTTTTTATTACTTTTTTTATTTTGTTTTAAGATTTTTTTTTTCATATTTTACTATGACCAAAGTAGTACAATGTTACTATAGTAACATTGTACTACTTTGGGGAAGTGATCAGTATTTTTTTTTTTTTTTTACACAATTTGCTTATAGCAAAGAATTACTTTGCTATAAGCAAGCATTTACCTTGAATGAAATGGATTCATTCAGCTTTTTTTTTTTTTTTGTGCTTAGCTGTGATTTGGTCACAGCTAATCACATGACATGTGCATGTGATTAGCTGGGACCATTCACAGCTAGGCACTAGTATACAATGGATGGCATCATGAATGAAGCCATCCATTGACAACTGTCATGTGACCTGCTGTGATTGGTCACAGCAGGTCACATGGTACCTGCAACGGGGGCCGGTACTCAGATCTGTCATCGGCCGTGTCCGAGGTACACGGCCGGTGACAGATCGCGCCGCTGTGCCGCTCTGCATTAGCGCAAACTGCGCATGTGCGGGGAGCACGCCAAATGGCGTGCACCCGGAGTGCAGAAGCACTTTTGAAGCCACCAAACGGCCATTGGCCGGGTGGCTAATGGTTAACTCTACAGACATGAGATGCAAAACTAAGTTGTCAGGGTCAGGCTTCATTAAGATGCAAAGGGCAGACTTTAGAGCTGCCAAAGGAGTAATAAACCTGTGTCAGTGTATCTCACTACTCCTCCTTATTCGCATTGGAACAGGGTTGATAAATGTTCCCCATATTTGTTATTGCTCCCAGCACCTGAACAAAGTGGTGGGGAGTGAAGGAGAGGTAAGCATACACTGCTGGTGAGGGGCATTAAAACAAACCTGTTGCTTTCTCTGCAAGGGCACAGGGGACTCCTAGGAGGTATCTCCCTGTGGCTCCCTGCCACATTACTGATGCTATCACTCTTGGTTGAAGTGAATGTGACATTTACATGGTTAGAGCAAATAATGCAGTAAATAACAGTCTCTTCTTGAATGGATATTGTGGAATGTTACTGAACCTGGAGAATGTGCACGGATGATAGATGTCTTTTTTTTTTTTTTTTTTTTTTTTCTGCACCAGGTGACAGAAGATGAAGTCAGTGACAACAGTGCTGAGTGCGTGGTTTGTCTGTCCGATGTCCGTGATACACTTATTCTGCCATGCAGGCACCTCTGCCTGTGCAATACATGTGCGGATACTCTACGTTACCAGGCCAGCAACTGCCCTATCTGCCGACTGCGTGAGTAGCAGAACTGCTTTATATCTGCAGAGGCTGCTCCTGTACAGGTTTTTTTGTTTTTTTTTTTTTATTAGACATTACTGTAACATTATTTTTCCTCTGATCTGTAAAAAGCATGACATGTTTTCCATTAATCTATGCAGATTTTGAATGTTAGTGCAAACATGCCCTTTAATTACTTCCTCCCACCGTTTTCTTTTTTTGTTAAACTTTTGGTGCAGACACACACCGGGTCTTTGAGTGAATTTGGGCTTCTTATGTCTTGCTTTACCTTGATAGTGGAACTAAACCTTCAGAATAAATTCTGTTTCTTTATAACCCTGTCTAACCCTTCAGAAAAAATGTTTTTTATTGCTGTTGGTGTCCTTGCTGCAGATATTCCTATGACTTTCTGTCCTTGTTTATATCATGTTAATCTTCCTATTCTTTTCTTTAGCTTTCCGAGCCCTTCTTCAGATTCGGGCAATGAGAAAGCTCCCTGGTCCTCATTCGCCTGCTGGATTCAGTCCAATAATTGCTGCCCCAACCTCAGACTCTGAAGAGCATACGGTGAGTACTTTTAGGCCCCTTTCACACTAGCGGACCCATGAGGTCCACCTGTCAGTTTTTCAGGTGGGCCTAAGCTGACTCTCCAGTCTCCTCTATGGAGTGGTGAGTATAAAGAGACGTGTCCGTTTTCACCCGCCTACATCCGATCTGATCCTATCCACTAAAAGACAGATGGGGATCCATTCCCCATCCGTCTGGCGGAACGGATCAGATGGTAGTAGGGGGTAAATGGATAGGTGAGCTGTTTACTTCCGACTGCCCATAAAGGAGAGTGGGCTGTGTCTGTGTCCACTCTACATAAGCTGGGATCAATGGACAGATCCCCCTCTGAGTGAGCAGACTCCAACGGAGCCTGCCCTGTGTGGAAAGGGCCTTAGGGAAACAATTATAAATGTACAAAACATTTGCATTTATTTTTTTTTTCCCAGAGGAGCCTGCAAAGCATTGTACCCACAATCAGTGAATTTGGGGGTGCAATGTCAGGCTCTTGAAGACACATCCTCCAGCTTTCTGCGTGCTGTACCTCTGTACAGGCTTTCAGTTAGGAAGCGGCAGGAAGTTTCAATGGACTAAATGTGCACTGCTCACCGTAGTCTGTTGAGAACCACAGGTCCGTCGGCTGCGGGACAGGTGGAACTTGTAGTTTATTCATTCACAGATCCCTGTGAGGGAATGACGCAGCTTTGTGGATGTGGGGCACAGCTTCATCGATTTTAAATGTGACAGCAGCTGTGATAGAGAGGAACCCCTACCCATTGTCATAGGGGGGGATCTCTGGGGGTGAGGGGGGAGGCTAGAACATATTACATGTTACACCCGAAGTATGGGTGTAGCATGTAACATGTTCTAAAGGTAAACTTATTCTTTATGGGTAAAAACCACCCACAACCATGTTGGGGTACTGGATCGGACACTGGCTCATTGTATGTGTTAGGTGCCTGGGAGCTAGAACATCCAGATTTCCAGCTTTCCCCTTGGTATCTGAAAGCTGAATTCCAGGGGTAAAGGAATATTTTCCAAATACCAGATTCATGTGTATTCTTTTTTGGATTTTGGTGCCTTTGTGTGTTGTTTCCACATTTGTGCAGTAATCATGAAAAAGGCACCTGCACTTCTTCTCTGTGCAGGAGATTGCTATAATAAAGACCGGTCACTGCCTCTCTCTCTTCTTGTGCTGGGTGACTGGTCCTGTCTGCACCCCCTCCTGTAGTTTTCTCCAGACAGCCTGTAGTGGGTGGAACTGCTGGATCCCTTGCACAACTTTGTCTCTTTAAAAATTACTTACATTATACATCATAGCGCATAATTGTTTAACTGTCTAACATAAATAGATCAATAAAAGCATGAACAGCCACCACAGCATTGCAGGCAACAATACACAAAACATAATGGTGCGGCACTTCAAATAACTATAGCAAATAAGTAGATGGAATAAAGATCCAATTCAGCTATGATAAAGATGAAATAAGCCCATCTTCATTGGGACATCAATAATGTCATAAATGCTTCAATCTGGTCAGGGAGATAAAGGGGATCCACTATCACCAACACCCAAAATGTTCTGCCTCTTACCAGACCAAAAGGACCCCCAGATATGGACAAGTCAAAATGCGCAGTGCAAATTCCAAAAGTAGGCTATGGACCTGGACACTTTATGGCTCCAAAGGAACAAAACTGGCCCCCAGTTGTGGATGGATAAACACCCGTTAGACTGATTCCAAAGGCAAGCCGTGGTCTGGACACTAATACTTGTACTTCAGAAATTGGGCTGAAAGGTGAACCTGTAAAAATGAATTATCCTCATAGAGGACAATTTCATTCAGAGAACAGAAAAATCCTCATAGTGTAGTAATTCCAAAAAGATTTATTGCCTCAAAGCGTAGTATAAAACAAACCTCAAAATAAAGAAAAAACAGCATGTCACCATAGATAAGAATGGTATGTTTCAAACCAATAAAATGGCCGCCACGCACCAGTATGTGCTAACATCAAAGGTTCTGGCTCCTCCCAACTTTGTCTCTGCATAGGCTATGTACAGAACAATGAGCACAATGTTGATGTCACCACTACATTTATAAATTAAATATCTGGGTTTACAAAGGCATTTGGTGCACAAAGTGGACTGATATACTTTGTGGCTGAGGACTAGTATTGAATAAACAGGACTTCAACATTTTAAAGAGAAGCAATCAAGACTGGACTCCTGTAATATGTGCTTTGGCCAGGCAGGACAAAGCATTTGGCATATTTGAATGCCCCCTCTTAGCACATACTGTCTTTTTTTTTTTTTTTTTCTACTCCTCACTGCTCCATTCAACTGCTGGGTGTGTCATGTGACCAGCATTGGTGCATGGAGATTTGCCCAGTGCTGTCACAGGAGGGCAGGGAAAGTCAATCGTTGGAGTGATTCCGAGCTTATACAGGGCTCTGTTTTTATGCTTTAGCAGGTGAACGTAGTGGCTGGGGTGCAGTGGAAATATGTTGCGGAGAAGGGGACATTAAAATTAACCTGTTACTTTACTCTGTTAGTGGGCAAAATGGGTGCTCTGATTTGTTACTTTTCATTCTTATTTATAAAAGATTTGTATGTGCTCTCTTATTTAAATATATTAAGGTAGGTCAGACCTCAAAGATAGAAAAATCCTGGAGGGGACGGGGGGTACTTGAGTATATCCCTGATTTTTTGTTATACGCTTCTTACCATTGTCATTAATCTGCCTCTACATTTCCTACAACTCCTCTGTTCCATTTTATTATCATTATTCTTACTCCCATTTCTCTTATTATCTTCCCTGTATTAGTCGGCTGAACACGTTCCTCCTGGGTATGAGGTGGTTTCCCTCCTGGAAGCTTTGAACGGACCCCTGACGCCATCACCATCTGCCCCTCCATTGAGGGCTCTGGGGGAGTCCCGGCGGCCTGGTGTGCTCCAGTCCTATGGCAGCGATATTCAGCTCCCTCACCTACGGATGCACTCACCTCTGCAGCACCTATGTGGCAGCCAGGCTCTAAAGCTGAAGAAAAGTATTTCCAGGTAGGTAAATGTGCATTGTTTGGAATAGTATGTTCCATAAAAATGCTTCGGCTTGTTTATTGAACCGTATGCATTCTGTCACTGTTCAGTCTCATTGGAATTTAGATATGCCTTTCTTTTCCAGGTCAATTTCCCAGAATTCTTCTGTGTTACAAGAAGATGAAATGGAGAAATCATTTAGTGAAGCTGAGATTCGAAGTCCTAGAAAAACACCTCAACTTGCTGAGGTCAGCAAAAGTTTTTCAGATTGTTCATATTCACCACATTTTATATGTATGTGTCAAATAATTTACCCATCTCTGTGAATTGGTGGGATATTACGGTTGACATGCAAGACCTGAGATGCGTTGCATATACAGCAAATGTTGCATATAAACGTCATTGAACAAGTGAATCACAGCATTCTTACCCTAGATTCACATATATGCGGCTGTGCTGGCCACATTTTGTGTGGGCACGAGAGCCCATTCATTTGAATGGACTCCCCAGGGGTGGACTGACAACTCATGGGGCCTCCGGGCAATAGGGGATCACGGGGCCCCTGTGTCCTCGTCCACACTCAAACCACACACAAAATAACCTATGAAAGGTACCAGGGGCATCTCATGGGGCCCCTTACTGACCCAGGGCCCTCGAACAGTACCTGAATGGTCAGTCTGCCCCTGGGACTCTCCCATGCCCCGTGACACACAGGGAAGAAGTCCCTGCAGCACTTCTTCTGAAAACGCAGCCCACACGGGAACCCTTGTTCCCAGTACGGCTGCGGTTTTCAGTGCGGGCGGCATGCCATTAGTACTAATGGCACCCGCTCTCGGGTCCGCATTCCTTTGTGCGGGTGGTGCGGCTGCACGGATTTTCATGCGGATCTGCAGCTGCATCACCCGCACAGAAGTGAACCTAGCCTCAATCCTGTTACGTGGCTTATTTTTTTTAATCAAAATGTACATTTTTGGCCTGATGAATACCTACATTTCTCAAAACATTATATATTTTCTGAAGTCTTGAACCTGTTACACAAAAAGATGGTAGTTAAACATTTTTATGTCGTATATTTGTGCAACTGTTTATAAAACTTATATTTTTAGTAAAAAATTAATTAAACTTTATTTTAGTACACAAAGACTATCATATTTTGCAAGGTATAAATTATGAGATTTTGCAGAGTGGATACCAAATATATCAGGTATTCAATCCATTCCTGCTGTCTGTCTACAGTGACTTTGGTCACCTCTGGCCATTAGACCTTCACTTGTGTTTGGTTGCTGACGGTTTCCTAACTCATCCTTCACATTGGTCCATACACATGCAGAGGACACTTTGGCATCTGATTCACATGGCCATCAAGAGACGTCTCTTTAGATCTACTCTCTATACCATTATCAAGCATGCTACATGTGGTAAGGACACCCATTTTCCTCAGTGGAAGAGGCCTAAGAAACAGACTTGCAGTCTTCCCCCTTCACTATTGATACTGTTTCCCTACTCCAGCAGCATGTCCAGGCCCACCAAACTTGACTCCAAGTCTACCCACAGGTTTTGGGGCTCACAATCTGCCAAATCATCTAAAATACCTTCCTTAGCATGAAGGTGTATCTCCATTTTCCAGAGTTTAACCTTTGAGAGGTGGTATTCAAGAGTTACATATTGGTTTTTACTCCCTGCCTCCCTCTTTGGTTTCTCACCTCCAACCTTCCAGTGTCACTGCAAAAATTAGCACATCTACTTTGATTGCCTTTGCGTCTTCTGAATCAATTTGATCATTGCCCTAGTTCCTGTGGTAGAATGTTTTCAGAGGGGTGTCTTCTGAATCAATTTGTCATTGCCCTAGTTCCTGTGGTAGAATGTTTTCAGAGGGGTTTACTCCAAACTGCTCACAGTTCCTAAACCCAAATGGGGAATTCACCTCAGCTTGGATCCAAAACCACTGAATGTCTTCATTCAAGCTCAGTCAGTCTGCAAAGAATTCGCAAGATGTGTTATCGTTATCACCTCCTTTATCCAGGGAGATTTTCTAGTTTCAGTTGGACATCAAAGGTATATTTCTTTATGTCCCCATCTTTCCAGCACATCGGCGTTTCTTACACTTTGCTGTGGAGCCCCTACTTACTATTTCACCAAGGTGCTAGACCTAGTAATAGCCCTGCTGTGTTGTCATGGCATCCCCTTTGTGGGATGCTTAGATGACCTATTTTTGAGGAAACAGTCAGCGCAGGCTCTGTCGGTCAACATGACCTTGGCTGTCCAAACATTACTGCAGTTTGAATGGATCCTAAACCTTCAGAAGTAATTGCTGGAACCATCTCATTGTATGAAGTACAGTGCCTTTGAAAAAGTATTCATACCCCTTGAAAGTTTCCACATTTGGTCATGTTACATCCAAAAACGTAAATGTATTTTATTGGGATTTTATATGATCGACCAGCACAAAGTGGTACATAATTGTGAAGTGGAAGGAAAATGATGAATGGTTTTCAAAATTTTTTACAAATAAATATGTGAAAATGCTGGTGCCGAAACTGATACCGAAAATTCAGAGTGCATGTGGCCGAAAACTGAACCGAAATGTCTGCGTATGTGGGGGTGGGGAGGCTCCAATTTTTATTTTGTATTTTTTTTTTTTTTTTCTACTTTCATGTATATTATTTTTTTTTAACTTAGTCCCCTATGTGATAGCAGATAAGTGACAGGGCCTCTTTGTATGGGGGGGCAGTGTGCGCAAGGAGGGGGCAGGAGAGAGAAGTGTATAGAGTGAGGGTGCAGTGTATACAGAGAGGCTCCCTCACTGGCTGTCACTGTGGGGTTTATTTACTAAACCTGGTTGACTCAGAATCTTGTCCACTTCTGCATAAAAACCAATCAGCTTCCAGGTTTTATTGCTGAAGCTTAACTGAACATGCTGAGGTTAGAAGCTGATTGGCTACCATGCACAGGTGGCCAAGATTCTGAGTCAACCAGGTTTAGTAAATAAACCCCTATATGTCTCTGCCATTTTTTTTAAATGTAATTACCAGCTTTTTTTTTTCTTCTTCTTCTTCTTTGCTGTCACTTTCCCCAGAGCTAAAGGAAACAAAGGGGCAGGGTCACTGGGTAATGTCACTGGGTGACCCCACCCCTTTTGTTTCTCCATGGAAAGTCACAGCTCATTCTCTGAGCTATAGTGAAGAAAAACAAGCCGGTAATTACATTTTAAAACCGGCAGTGACATATAGTGATAGCCAGTCACTGTATACACTGCTCCTCTCCTGTCTTGCCACAGATTCTGTTGGATTTAGGTCTGGTCTTTGACTGGGCCATTCTAACCCACAAATATGCTTTGATCTAAACCATTCCATTGTAGCTCTGGCTGTATGTTTAGGGTCGTTGTCCTGCTGGAAGGTGAACCTCTGCCCCAGTCTCAAGTCTTTTGCAGACTTTTAACAGGTTTTCTTCTAAGATTGCCTTGTATTTGGTTCCATCCATCTTCCCATCAACTCTGACCAGCTTCCCTGTCCCTGCTGAAGAAAAGCATCCCCACAACATGATGCTGCCACCACCATGTTTCACGGTGGGGAGGGTGTGTTCAGGGTGATGTGCAGTGTTAGTTTTCCACCACACATTGCGTCTTGCTTTTAGGCCAGAAAGTTCAATTTTGGTCTCATCTGACCAGAGAACCTTCTTCCACATGTTTGGGATTTCTTATGGCTTTCTTCTTGCTACTCTTTCATAAATGCCGATTTGTGGGGTGCATGACTAATAGTTGTCCTGTGGACAGATTCTCCAACCTGAGCTGTGGATCTCTACAGCTTCTCCAGAGTTACCATGGGCCTCTTGACTGCTTCTCTGATTAACGCTCTCTTTGCCTGGCCTGCCAGTTTAGGTGGATGGCCATGTCTTGGTAGGTTTGCAGTTGTGCCATACGCTTTCCATTAATCGGACGATGGATTGAATAGAGACATAGCTGGGAAAAGAGTCCGTAGTTGTCAGACTAGGATCAAGTTGCTCCCGAAGGTTATGGGCTGGGAATTTGGGGCTCATTCTGAAGAAGTGAGATAATGAACCCCACCTTAGTGTTCTGGGAAGCTGAGAGAAATACAGTTCACAGGAGTTATGAAAAGTCCAAAATTTTCTTCAGTCTCCAGAGAAACGTTCAAGTACTGGCATCCGAGATTCTGGTGGGGTAATAGCCCCATAAAACATGCTGGACTCCATTTGGGTGGTTATATCTGTGACTGCAGTGGGACCCAGGAATGATGAAACATCTGTTATCTTCCATGTGATTAAGGGTATTTTTTAAACTCTGTACAAGGTAGAAAAAGGCAGAGATTGATCAACAAACATCCTCGAATGGAGAGGCCTCCCTTTCAGACTCCATCACTGGCTGACTGGTACTGTCACGTACCTGATAGGAGACTGAAATGATGAGGTCGGCCTAACTTGTATTCTTAGCCTAGGCCCCACTGGAAGTGAAACAGTGGGTACTGAGGAACAGGAGGAACAAGAGTGCAGGCTGATGTTGATAGGAGAACTTGCAGAAGGAGATGCATGTCCAAGGAGACTGGTGGACCATTGGTTTAGGAACGGTAGCTGTGCTCAGGAGTCCAGCCCAGGTTAAAGGGGCACTCTGCTTGCTCTGCAGGTTCAGGGTGAGTGGCTTGTCAGAGCTTTCAGCAGACTTGAGGCAGGAACAAGTGGTGCACAGAGCTTGTACAGAAGACAGGCAGGCAGACAATTGAACAGGACAGAAAGCCAGGATCGGAGACAGGAGCATGGTCACAGGAATAGCCATGGTCCTCAAAAGATGGGCCGCGAGGTACCAAATCCTGAGCAGATCCAAAGTCAGAAACAGGCCTGGTCAGCAACAAGGGAATTTTACTGGACAACACAGGACACAGAGAACAGCTGAAGACCAGTCAGAACTTGAGCACTGGTAGGATCATCCTTAGAGAGTCCATCTAGCACCATCATGCACTGTGTGCGCATGCCCATGTGCATTCTTGTGCACATGCGCACGTCTGGTTACTATTCTGCAGAGATTGCCATGCACATTCCTATTGACCAGCAATCTCACAGGGATTCCCTGACACCAGTTTTTTTTTTTTTTTTTTGTTGTTTTTTTTTTAGGCATCCCAAAATTTAGTCTTTCTGTGTCCTTCAACAGAAGTGAGAGGAAAACCGTTTGTTGTTGTTCTTTTTTTTTTTTTTTTTTTTTTTTATACTCCCCATAAAATCCTTTTTCTTTTGGGGCCCAGTGAGGGACAGTGGTCTCACGCATTTATGTTTATGATCATGTGCTGGGTTCTGCTTTGCCATTAAACTGAGGACTGCTGATAGTAAGAGAAGCCATGCTGGGCTGGCCTACAGTTTTTGTTTGCCAGGGTCCAAACCTCTTGTAGAAGGCAGTATAACCTGAAGATGAAAGACTTCCTGTGTCACTCCATGAACTCTTAAAAAAAAAAAAAAATAATTTAATTGTGAGTACAAAAATCCTGTTTTCTGTAACATGCCAATATGATCCTTGTGATTTAGAGTTTGGGTTAAATGGTCAGTTTTTATATCTAATTTTTGAAGTGATTAATTAAAACAAGGAATATGTATTTCAAGTGAAAAAGGAATATGTATTTAAAGTCAAAAATTCAAAATTGTAAATAAATATGACAAGTAATTTGAAAACTAATTGTAATGTGTGTGTGACCAATGTTGGATTAAGGCAGTGCCAGAAATCAGAACATCTGGATTGCTGATGCAGTTATTAGCAGATACAGAGCCAATACAGTAAACTGACAAATTTAAATATTGTCATCTTGTCTGCACTTAGATTCGTTGGACATGCAAAACCTGTTTTTAGTTGTGTTGTATATAATTATCTGTGGTTCCTCCTAATATTTAAAGTGACCCTTTCAGCACAGCATCACTTGATTGTAAAACATACCTGCAAAAAATGACTGCTTGTGCTCATGCTCTGGCTGGCCTTTTTCTTGAAAAGATGGCGATTCGCTGCTCACTACCTCCTGAAAGCATGTACATACTTTTGGGGTGTGGGAATAACCTGCTCCCCCACTGCCCAGTGTGGCTTCATCCACTGTCTCGTATGTCACTACAGAATATACAAACTGGTGGGAGGAACCACAGCGAGTGGTGGGGAAAACAGATATTTGACTTATCCAATAGGTCAAATACTTGCAGAGGATGGTAAGCAGTAAAGCAAAGAGTTTTGGGGCAGCACAATGGCTAAATAGTCGTTGGTTCGAATCCCAACCATGGCACCACCTGCCTGGATTGGCATGTTCTCCCTGTGCCTACATGGGTTTCCTCCGGGTTCTCTGGTTTCCTCCCACATTCCAAAGACATGCTGGTAGGTTAAATGGATTCTGTCTAAATTGGCCCTAGTATGTGTATGTATGAATGTGAGTTGGGGACCTTAGATTGTACACCCCTTTAAGGTTAGGGACTGATGTGAATGTACAATATATATGTAAAGCGCTGCGTAAATTGACGGCGCTCTATAAAGTTACCCATCCACATGCCAAATTATTATTGTTATACAGGATTTATATAGCGCCAACAGTTTGCTCAGCGCTTTACAATATAATGGGAGACAATACAGCAACAATACAGTTCAATACAAGAGGGATAGGAGGGCCTGATCCTTGGAGCTTACAATCTAGGATCTTGCACAGTTCTGTTTTTTTGTCTCTGCAAAAAGTAATTCGCATCTAAACCACAAAATCCATTTTTGGAGGTCAGAATTAGGTATTTACAATACCAAAGAAAGAAATGGAGGTGGGAGCAGAGATCTGCATAGGCTAGTCTGCTAGCACTTTATCAAGCCTTCTGGTACCCTACCATTTAGGTAGGCCATGAATGAGCAATGTTTTGTTTTCTTTGTTTTTTTTTGTTTTTTTTTTGTGCTCAACCAGCAGGTTGAACGAAAAAAAAATCAGTCTCCACATCCACACATTCTAGGTGCTTGGGGGAATCCGTCCTGCTGAGCTATTGCATTCTGACAATGTGGAAACTTTCCCGCCATTAGAATACACTGATCAGCACCATCGTCTATATCTAATGGCGCTGATAGAGAAAACAATTTCCAACAGACTGGCTGTACACAAATCCATTGATAGATCAATGTGTATACAGTCAACCTGCCCATACATGGATCGAAATTAGGCCAGTCCCTGCTGAACTGGACAAATTTTGACCCATGTATGGCTGGCTTCACACCATTTATAGTGTAGACTCTGGCCTGCTCACAATGGATTTTGTCTTCACCAGCCTTGTTCTTCAAAATATATCATTGTTTTTTGTACTGTACATGTTCATTTTGAGTGATGTTTAAAATGAATGCTATACAGTAACCCATTTTATTAAGATTTACCAAAAACCATGAATGTATCTTCAGCCTATGACAATCATTCTTGCAGCCACCATTTTAAAAATCCCAGGTACTAAACCTACCCTGGTAACATTTTCTATCAGCAATAGTGGAGGCAGTGAAATAAAATGCCAGTTCTGGGGAAAAAAAAAAACCTTATGAGGCTCATCATTTGTAGATTTAGAAAGCTATACTGTGATAAACTGCAAAATAAAGACTTGAAAGGAAGAAAAAAAATAGCCTTGAGCCCTGCTAAAGTTTAAAGGACTATTGAACAAAGTTCATATCCATTGTTTGTGTTTTGCCCCAGGAGTCTGGAGCTACCCCAGAGAGTGAGAACCTGACTTTGTCTTCTTCCGGAGCCATTGACCAGTCTTCCTGTACAGGGACGCCCCTTTCCTCCACCATCACCTCTCCTGAAGGTCAGGGACTCTGTACTAATCCTTATATTTAAAATATGTATGTTTTATCATTTGTCCCATTTAAAATGACGCTAACCTATTATCTGCTAAAGTCAGCTACGTAAAAATGAAATATAGGCTTTTCTAAATTTTTGTGTTTTTTTTTTTTTTTTTTTTTTTTTTTAATGCAACACTGATAAAATGGAAGAACAAAATGGGGGGGAAAAAATGACAAAGTTAATAAAGTAGCAAGAAAAAATAGTTAAAGTGTTACTAAACCCAGGACCCTGCATTCACTATATCTGGTCTCCCACAGTACACACAACATGGAAGTGTAATTATTTTACTAAATATAAAAACTGCTAAATACCTTTTCTCATCAGCAGTTAGAGCAGTCTTTTGACTTCTATCAGTGTCCAGCAGAGCACTGGTTAAAGCTTATAGGAGGAGTTTTAATTCTCTGATTGTCCTGTGAGGCTGCAGGACCCCTGACCAGTGCTGATTGGCCCTGTGCTGAACAGATGCATTCTCCCAAGAAAAAAAACCTCTCTTGCAATACACATCAAACTTAGCATGTGCAGCTTGCCCCCAAGGCTCTGTTCTATCAGCAGATGGATTGGGGACAGTAGATGAAGGGGAAGATCAGAGAAGACCGGCTCAAACCTCTTTTTTTACACAATGCATAGAAATTACCCACAGTGAGTGTAACAAGCATGATTTATTGCATATACAGACTGAGTTTACTGTTTTTGGTTTAGTAACACTTTAAGGGTTGAAAAGGAAGATGGAGTTGAATAAAAAATGGACTGACTGACAGTGTTTATAAAACATGTTAAGACACCAGAGAGAGAGATAGAAAGTAACGTTGTATTAATTGATAGATTACAAAGCTTACTCTGAATGGCTGAGCGCTGCTGTGATAGACTCTGTGTTCCAGGTTTAAGACTGGAAGTCTCGTCTCAAAGCTGGAACACTGTGCTCTATGTAGTCACAGCTACATACAGTTTAAACTGTTTCATATCCAGCGGCCGCACAGGTTAGTGGGGGACATAATTAGCTTGGCTCAAGCTGGCCCAAAGAACTATGTAAAGTATATTGAAAAGTGGAGATTAGCTTTACCTGACAACATTTGCAGATCGATGCTTATCCCTGTGATCTGCAGATGAGAGAGAGTAGATACAAAAGTAACAATGATACTGTCTGACATCTTAACAGGGTTTATAAACACTGTTGCTAGACAGCAGTAGCTATTATAGTGGTTGTATTGAAACTTTAGGACCTAACTGTCATTTTAACAATCAGGAATCACTGACAAGTGCAAGTGGGGAGCAGCAAAGGGACAGAGGAACAGGAAGTATTACACATGTCCTGTGCACTTTGATAAAGTTTTTTTGGATGTGTATAGTCTGTCCAGTATCCACAACTAGTTAAAGGCCCTAAACTCCTAATTGTCAATGGATGGCAGACAACCTAGTGTTTGCTAGACTAAAATTGCAAGGATAGGTGTTAGCCTTGTCTTCTGCTGAACTACTAAATATTTCATCCAGGACCTAGGGGAGGTGTTTTGTAGTACAAGAGTAAAGCTGGTAGATTATACACTGTGCATACAATAGCTCTGAATATCTGGCAGGATCAAAAGGTACTGTATATTTAATAGACCAAAAAGGAGTATTTATGTTTAAATGGAAGATTAAGTTGGAGGATTTGTTTGTTCACTTTTTCCAGAAACAATAAAAAGGTGCACACCCCCACCCCCACCCAAATTCTGACAGTGCTGAAAGCTGAAAATTGGCCTGGACAGGAATGGGGTGAAAGTGCCCAGAATTGAAGTGGTTAACTGTGATGGTAGTCACCAGGACAGGGTTAGAGGAAAATATTCCCAAATTGTAACCCTTCCCTCCTCTATCCGAAATGAAAGTATAACTGATAGGCCAGTTGCATTTATGATTTATTGCTCTTATTTTTAGGGATTTTTTTTTTACACGAATATTCTTATCAAAATGGATATCATGCATCGTTTCTGGAAAAAATAACCTGATGAATGCTGATTTTTTTTATTTCTTATGTATATTTAGATTGTGGGTTTCTTTTTCTTTTTGGTTGAGTTGTTGGATCTCTTTCTGTTTTGCCTTGTTTGTTGCTATGACTGAAACATTTCTTACACCAGCTTTGAGAATTCTGTTGCTTTATGCTTCTGTAACCATTTAACTGTACTCCTCACCCGTCCTTTTTCTGCCCATCTCCCACCCTGCCATATACTGGTTTACTCCCGTACCCCTGCTTACCATTTCTTGCTCTGTGCCTCGCTCTTCTCTTTACCCTGTACTGTAATCCTCACTCTCATCTTTTTCACCTGTTTATCTTGTTTTCCCTCTTCCGTCTTATCCTTCGTTGTCACTATTGCTCCATTGCCCCATTCCACCCTCATTTCTTGCGCAGACCCTTTGAGCAGTAGCCTGGCACAGTCCGTAATGTCCATGGCCTCGTCCCACAGCCAGCAGTCCCAGCTCAGCACAGACACAGTGTCCTCCATGTCTGGCTCCTACACAGCTGGCGTGATGGAGGAGGAGGAGGAAGACGGGATCACGCCATCACCTCCAGTAGCAGCCAGCGGTTCCCCGTCAGAAGAGGGAGAGGTAAGTCTTTCATTGCTTTCAGTACCATTCATTGATGGCTCAATATATACTAACTATTTACATGCCTCTCTTACAGCTATCACCAGAGGGGCACTTTGTGACTGTGTCTGCAGATGAAATGGATGCAGAGGTATATCCCCATACTGCTTGGGTGGAAAACGGAGGGTGTGGATAGACAGAAGGCAGGATCCAAGCTCTTCTTGGGTCCTGCAATGTGTGTCCAATGAATGTGAATGCCATTCCAAACATATTATACAGTAGAAGCCAAGGCATCACATTGCACATTATCCATTGTACACTGTGTTAAAAAAAATTGATTTTTTTCTACATACTTACCTGTAAAATCTATTTCTTGGACTATATCATGGGACACAGAGCAGGCTATTTATGACTATGTGGGTTATACACCACCTATAAGTGAATGGACACTGGCCGACCAATAAGAGAGGAAGTCCTCCCCTATATAACCCCTCCTACTCAGAAAGTATTTTAGTTTTTGTAGCAAGCAATGAAATTCCAGAAAGAGTGGCGGGGGCCTCTGTGTCCCATAATGTACTCCAAGAAATTGATTTTACAGGTAAGTATGTAGAAGAAAATCCAGTTTTCTTTAACGTACATCATGGGACACATGTGGGATGTCCAAAAGCAATAAAGGAATTTGAGGGGAAGGTGCTGTAACAAGCGTACACACAGTGAAGGACGCAGCCCTCCATTTTGTTAAGAAATCTCCATTTTGTCCCCTCATTCTCCCCCCTTCCTCTGTTCATACACATTGCCATATGGCCTGTGTGTTAAAAAGTGTCACAGGCCAGAGCCCAGAAGGGAGCCCCAAAGTGCCTGGTTGTCTAAGAGAGCTGTGCAATCTAACACATTGTAAAAGATAACGCAAGCCTTCCCAGGAGTTCAAAGACATTCCAAAGAAGCACAAACCAGATAACACTTTTAAAATCCATTTTTCCCCTATGTCTCATATCTTGGAATATGAGAGACTTGCACAAAAAACAGGCATATCTTCAGATTGGCCACAAGGAGACAAACATTTTGATAGGTCACACTCCTTGGCTGGAATACATAGGAAAGCAGAAAAGTAGATCTTTTAAACCATTGAGTGTATAATTTCATATTTTATATCTAATCATTCCTCAGATATGTCTGCATAATAATCTACCCGCAGGTGGAATGTCACTTGTGCATATGGAAAGTTATGAGCCAAAATATGAACTATAAGAGATTTTGGCTCTAGTTTAGGCCAAGCCCAGACGATCACTCCCTAAACGGGGTATTGGTCCTTGACTTCAGAGACACCCCCTGCTGCGGAACTACAAAATGGGTTGTCAGGCCTAAGAGTTAAGTTGAAGAATTCTCCCTTTTAACATCAGAACCACCTGGGGAGACCTATACCCTTTCGCTCTGAAACTTGATCTGCTAACCCAGGTCTTTGGCAAGTACTTTAACCCTCTAACTCCTCTCTGTTATCTCTTTGCTGTGCTGTTGTTCTCTGTATATTTATATATACATTGGTTTACTTTTTTCTGTAAATATTTTTATTGTACCCCTTTTGACCTTTCAGTAATAAATCTTTCCTTCTGAAAGTGTTGAACTGTTACTAAAGCTCCTTATTGCAATTTACTGAATTCCTGCCTCTAAAAGAGCGCTACTGTGTTTGTTTACCCTCTGTATAACCGGCCTGCGGTGACCGTGTTATACAGGCAATTATCTCAACCATTATATTGTTATAGCTGATATTGCCGAGTTTCCTCTTTCTCTGTACAAAAAAGAGGTGGTGGCAGTGTGAAGGGTTAATTGCGTAATTAAGCTGACCCAGTAACAATCGCTCCCAGGCTGCCGGTACATAGATTGTGGTCCATTTAGCTGGAAAATTGTTGTGCAGGGTGCAGCTGGGCATGGCATTGTTACGCATGTGACATCGTGGTTTTAGATTGGCTAGTCCTTCGGTCACGAGTTTGGTGAGAAGGTCAGGGGTCTGACGCCGCGTTCGTCACAGGTGACAACAAGATAGCCACTCTGTAAAACATTGCAGTCAAAGGCAGAATCCTTTGGGGCTCTGACATCCACCTGGTAGAACCTTGTGAATGTGTGAACTGAAGATCATGTAGTGGCCTTGCAAACTTTAACCACTGACGCCTGATGGCGGATTGCCCAAGATGCCCCCACACTCCAGGTAGAGTGTACATTCACCCGAAAAGGTGGGACTTTACCTTTCAAACCATAAACTTGAATGATCAATTGGTGGATCCAAAGTGATATAGTCACCTTGGATGTCACCTGCCCTTTCCCAGGCCCCTCAGGCAGCACGAACAGAGCATCCAACCTCTTAACTTGTGCCGTCCCCTTCAAGAAGACCCTTACAGCACATACCACATCCAAGGTATGCAGAGATCTTTCTCTTGCTGACTGAGGCCTAGGAAAGGATGAAGCCAGAACGATGTCCTGATTGAGATGAAAACTAGAAACCACCTTTGGCAAAAAAGTCAGTTGAGGTTGCAACACCACCTTATCTTGATGCAAAACCAGAATAGTTCTCTGCAAGAAAGGGCTTTCAGCTCCGACACTCTTATCGCAAAAGTAATTGCCACTAGAAACAAAACCCTACGAGTCAACAGGATCAGTGGAATCCCCTTAATGGGTTCAAACTGTGGTTTTTGCAAAGCGTTCAAAACAAAGTTCAGGTCCCAAAGGTGTCACTTGACAGGAGGAGCAATACGCATTACTCCTTTAAAAAAGTGCCAAACAAAGAGTGAGATGCAGTGGGCCTCTGGAAAGAACAGCTAATGCTGAAACCTGGCCCTTAATGGTACCAACAGCCAATTTCTTCTCCAATCCTGATTGAAGAAGCATCAGAATCCTACCAATCACATATTTTCGTGCGTACCATTTCTGGACCTCACACCAGGAAATGTAAGCCTTCTGAGTTCTGTAATAAGTATCCCTTTCTGGTGCTCAACATAATGGGGATGACGGAATCCAATACTCCCCTGTCCTTCAGGACCTGGGTCTCAGCCATGCTATTAGTGACTGTAAAGTTGGGTCCAATATAGGTCCTTGAGCCAGCAGGTCTGGCCAGCATGGCAGAGACCATGGACTGTCCACTACCAGTTTCATTATGTCTGCATACCAGGCCCTCCTGGGCCAGGCTGTGGCAATCCGTATCACTGGAACGGATTCCACCTGAATCCTGCATAAGAGACATGGCAACAGCTGAATCAGAGGAAAAGCATAAATCAGAGAAAACTAGAATACAGAGATCAGGCTTAACTAACCATTTGCCCTTCAGGAGATTTACCCCCCTTCCTGACCAGGCCATTTTTTGCAATTCAGCACTGTTTAGCTTTAACTGACAATTGCACGGTCATGCAAAGCTATACCCAAACAAAATTTATATCCTTTTTTCACACAAATAGAGCTTTCTTTTGGAGATATTTGATCACCACTGGGCTTCTTATTTTTTACAATATTAACGAATAAAATTGAAAAAAAAAACAGTATTTCTTACTTTCTGCAATAAAACATATCCAATAGACAAAATAAAAGAAATACATCTCTTCATAAATTTTTTGCCAAAATATATTTTGCTACATATTTTTGATTTTAAAAAATCCCAAAAGGGTGTGTATTGATTGGTTTGCGTGAATGTTATAGCATCTACAAAATATGGTATATACACTATATTGCCAAAAGTATTGGGCTGGCTGCCTTTCCACGCACATGAACTTTAATGGCATCCCAGTCTTAGTCCATAGGGTTCAATATTGAGTTGGCCCACCCTTTGCAGCTATAACAGCTTCAACTCTTCTGGGAAGGCTGTCTACAAGGAGTGTGTCTATGGGCATGTTTGACCATTCTTCCAGAAGCGCATTTGTGAGCTCAGGCACTGATGTCGGATGAGAAGGCCTGGCTCGCAGCTTCCGTTCTACTTCATGCCATGTGTTCTATTGGGTTGAGATCAGGACACATCTCCACTTCTAAATTCCAGTGGCAGCGTGCTTTACACCACTGCACCCGACGCTTTGCATTGCACTTGGTGATGTAAGGCTTGGATGCAGCTGCTCAGCCATGGAAACCCATTCCTTGAAGGTCTCTATGCACTGTTGTTGTGCTAATCTGAAGGCCACATGAAGTTTGTAGGTCTTTTAGCTATTGACTCTGCAGACAGTTGACGACTTCTGTGCACTTCAGCATGCGCCAACCCTGGTCTGTCATTTTATCTGGCCTACCACTTGGTGGCTGAGTTGCTGTTGTTCCCAGTTGCTTCCACTTTGTTATTATCCCACTAACAGTTGACTGTGGAATATTTAGTATCAAGGAAATTTCACGGATGGACTTATTGCACAGGTGGCAACCTATCACAGTACCACGCTTGAATTCACTGAGCTCCTGAGAGCAACCCATTCTTTCACAAATGTTTGTAGAAGCAGTCTGCATGCCTAGGTGCTTGATTTTATACACCTGTGGCCATGGAGGTGATTGGGACACCTGAATCCAATGATTTGGAGGGCTGGCCCAATACTTTGGGCAATATAGTGTATACCGTTCCCGGTATCTGTGCATTCCGAGCACCTAGCAGTAGATGGCGGGTAGATGCCTGGAGCTAGAGTTTCATGTCTCTGGGGGTGCCATGTAACAGCTTATCAACAGTCCTTTAGCTGATAGATCACTGCAGCTCTCATTACTTCTGCTGCGCTGTTGCTTAGGTGGGGCAACAGGGACATTGACTGGGCATTTTGGTAGGGGGTTCTGGGGGGGGGGGGGGGTTGGACCCTCCCCCCATCTACACCCCTGGCCATTCTGGCACATGAATATGCTTTGATCTAAACCATTCCATTGTATCTCTGGCTGTATGTTTAGGGTCGTTGTCCTGCTGGAAGGTGAACCTCCGCCCCAGTCTCAAGCCTTTTGCAGACTTAGCAGGTTTCTTCTAAGATTGCCTTGTATTTGGCTCCATCCATATTCCCATCAACTCTGAACAGCTTCCCTGTCCCTGCTGAAGAGAAGTGTCCCCACAACATGATGCTGCCACCACCATGTTTCATGGTGGGGTTGGTGTCTTCAGGGTGATATGCAGTGTTAGTTTTCTGCCACATGTAGCATTTTGCTTTTAGGCCAAAAAGT